GGATTCGAACCCCTGCTTCTGTGACATAGTGGCAACACCGCCTACACTGTGTGTCCAGCGCCCTAGACCACTCGACCAACTAGGCAATATATATCATTCAGTAGAATCGCTACTTTACAAAAAAAAAATATACCCGGTATGAATTCTGAATAATATATTTTAAGTTTTATCCTGACCACTGTTCTTATAAGAACATATATAAAAACAACTGAAAAAATCAAAAGTAAGAATTAACCTTTCTAAACAGTAATATTTTTCCTTAAAGATATCTTTTTCAACTTTTTTGTAAAAGAGACAATATGAGCATCGATGGACATGACAACGAGATCTCATGAAACTTTGTGAAAAAGAAACAAACATCAAAGAAACACCCATTACAATTTCATGACCGTGACTTGGGAATCGATATTAAAAGTTAAAAGATTTCACAGTCTTAGGTCTGAATGCTTTTCTACTACCTACTTATTCTGCTTGGAAATATTACTGACACTAAAACATAATTAAATTTTAGACGTTCACCTTTTCAGTAAACGCCATTACTGGTGCTAGTCATATAACAAGCTGCTTTAAAATTCGTTTACTTCTGCAATTAACCCATGTACAAATGGTTAACAACAATTTCCGCTGTCATTGAAACTGATGTCTGCTAATGGAATATAATGTTTGAAATCGTGACGTCAGACTAGATCAAAACTATAATGTCATATCATTTCATCCGCTTTGAGATGTTTTAAAGATCTTTGGAAATAAAAAAGCTATTACATATCTAATGCCATGCTTTTAAAAAAAAGCTACTTTTTGTCCAATAACAAGCCTTTTAGAAAAGCTTCTAACGTTCTCATTTCAATCATTTCACAAATGCAGTTACAAGCTTTCTTTATTGCAAGCTTTTTAGCTATAACTTGTCCAATTACAATTTCTTTTGCAATTACCAAAGATGCAATGTTACCATTATTGCATTGCATTGTAACTAATATTTAAACCCTGCGTATGTTTTCTTCCTAAATTTTATACAATAGTTGGTCATGTTTAATGAATATCTAAAGCCCGAGGCGTACCCGAGTGTTTTAATATTTATAAAACATGACCAAGTATCGTCTGACGAATTTAGAACAAATTTACATCTTCGAGTGACGTAACAAAAGTATCCTTTCCCATTGTAATATTAAAACCTTAATATGAGACTACTTTTAAAAGTATTAACATGGTAAATAAAGGGGATGTAAATCATGTTTAATGGGCATTTCAACGAATTGAATGAAATAGCACTGAGATAAATTGTTAAAAACTTAGGTTTTTTCTGCTTCGGGTAAAATTGAATACTGATATATCTCAAAATCTTCCATTTAAAAAAAACCTCATAATATTCTTTAAATCAGCTTTCCGAAATTTGTATATTGTTTATGACAAAACTTAATCAATCAATATTAAAATTAAGAACGTTCCATGCAATATTCAAAACTCAACATAAAATGTTTGTATAATTCGATTGTCTTGTTTTCATTTATAATAATTAGGCAAACAACAGTACTCATGATTTTTTTCTTTTGCTCTTTTCCTTTGTGATTGTACACTTCATTTAGTGTAATTTTCAAGAGTTCACGTTCATTGTTAATTAATCTACAGTGAAAAGTCATTCACGTGTAGCAGGAACAACTCTGCTGGAGATTCGGGGATGCGGACCACAGCTTGTTCTAGTTTGTGAACTGATTTAAACGGAGACGATGGATGCCAAGTGCTATTTAAATATCTAAGTGAATGAAACCAAAAACTGTGAAACTATATATAATAATTATAATTTATTCAACAAGTACAACTTTTTTTAAAGAAATCCAAACGTAAAGAAATGGAGCATTCAATGACTTTAATATTACCCGTATTAAGTAGGCATGTGGCATATTCACTAACCTTAAAGGGGGATTTGGAAATGCACAGCTTTCCTAGGTTGGACTGAACTTTAGTCCTCAAACAATTCGACTTAACAATTCCAAACCGATTATATGAAATTTATAAGTTTTTCAAGGAAGGTTATAAATGATTTGCAACGATACAAATTCTAAACTTTAGAGTATAAATTAAAATCTTTAACCAATGAATTCAAAATACCAATATCTATTCAATTTAACAAATATGTACTAAATAAGCATCATGTAACTTATTTAATAAAGAAATATGAAATTTGGAGTTTAAACAAGGGAGATAATAATTATATAATAATACTGTATGCTACACACGTATAGGATTTTACAGTGCATGGAAAGTCATGTACTATGACAAATAGAAGGGGAAATACTGATTTTCCATTGGGCAAGAAGGGGTCAGAATATTAATAGTGATATGGATTGTACATTTCGTCTTCTTTCTGTAAGGTATGATGTATGCAAACAGTTTACCCAAATGTTGCAAAACACTTGTCCTACCTCCATGACAAATATGTTGTTGTCCCCGCAGATAAAGCCCCAAACAACATCGTTTTTGTGTGTAAATATCATTACATAAACTGCTTGATAAATGAATTAGGTATTGACAATTCACTTGGAAACTTAACATATACCCTAACGACACTTACCAAAGAGGAAATCCTGGATAATCATAGGTCTGTTCTATGTTCCTTTTGAATTTCAAACAAAGATGAAGAACTGGATCTTCCATCACTGTATTGGATACCTAAAATTGAAAATTGAAATGGGGAATGTGTCAAAGAGACAACAACCCGACCACAGAGCAGACAACAGCCGAAGGCCACCAACGGGTCTTCAATGCAGCGAAAACTCCCGCACCCGGATGCGTCCTTCAGCTGGTCCCTAAACAAATATGTATACTAGTTCAGTGATAATGGACGTCATACTAAACTCCAAATTATACACAAGAAACTAAAATTAAAAATGATACAAGACTAACAAAGGCCAGAGGCTCCTGACTTGTGACAGGCGCAAAAATGCTAAACTACATAAGTGTCCTTACAAACAACGGTATATTGCTGGGTCATCCAAGTGTTCCACGAAACCTCTTTCTAAATTATTAACATCTATTTTATCAGCAATCAAAGCCGGGCTTCAAAGTAATGTGAAACTGCCTATTCTAGAGGTGGCGTGAATCAGATGTGGATACTAAAAAATTCCAAAGATCTTTTAGAGTACATAGTATTAAAACATTTGACTTTTCTACACTTTACACAAGTATTCCCCATTAAAAACTAAAAGACAAATGGAAAGAGTTGGTATTACTTTGTTTCATTAAAAAGAATGGCGAACGTAGATACAAGTATCTTGTCTTGGGGAGGGATAAATCCTACTTTGTAAAGAATCACTCTGATTCAAACAAAACATTCTCTGAAACTGACATTATCAAGATGCTTGATTTCTTGATTGACAACATATTTGTTACGTTTGGAGGACGTGTTTTTCAACAGACTGTCGGAATTCCAATGGGAACCAATTGTGCCCCTCTTCTTGCCGACTTGTTTCTTTATTATTATGAGGCTGACTTCATACAGGGACAACCCCAAGGGTGACTGGGGTATAGAAGTATGGTCACCATTGGTCTTCCTCCGACCGGCAGTAAAACCCGTGCTAAAGTGGGGCGTCCGTTTGGCTGTGCGGGATGTACAAATTTGCAGCCACGTCCGGTCAGAATGGGGACGTTAAATCCGATGCCTCGTGTAAAGAGAGTGCCACGCTCTTTGCACGTTAAGAACCCTTGCAACAACTCTTTGAGGGGTCCGTAAGTGACCTGTTGCAAGGCTAAATTTCTGTTCCTATCCAATATACCCTCATTTCCCGTGGCAGTCTAAATTTCTCCGACCTTAATCCCTTAATCTATTACAGATCCTACCTATTGTATTTATTGTGAACTTGTTCTCGTCCTGAATATGCATGAAATATTTGCCACTGGACGTTAAGCAACCAACAATCAATCAATCATACAGGGACTTCTTAGGAAGAAAAATAAGAAGTTAGCAATATCCTTTAACTTTACGTTCCGCTATATAGATGATGTTCTCTCACTAAATAATACAAAATTTGGTGACTATGCTGAACGAATCTATCCCATCGAACTAGAGATAAAGGATACTACAGATACAGTTAAGTCTGCCTCATATCTTGACTTACATCTAGAAATTGACAATGAGGGTCGGTTGAAAACAAAACTTTACGACAAAAGAGATGATTTCAGCTTCCCAATTGTGAACTTTCCATTTCTATGTCGCAGCATTCCAGCAACGCCTGCATACGGAGTATATATCTCCCAATTAATACGATATTCCCGGGCTTGTATTTCCTATGATGATTTCCTTGATAGAGGATTGCTGCTCACAAGGAAGCTATTAAACCAAGAGTTCCAAATGGTGAAGTTGAAATCATCCCTTCGTAAATTTTACGGACGCCATCACGAGTTGGTTGACCGTTATGGAATAACCGTTTCACAGATGATATCGGATATGTTCCTTATGTCGTAACTACAATACCCTTCCCTTTTCACGAATGTGACCTACCGAATTAGACTATTTACCGGATTTGTAATAACATAAGCAACACGATGGGTGCCACATGTGGAGCAGGATCTGCTTACCCTTCCGGAGCACCTGAGATCACCCCCAGTTTTTGGTGGGGTTCGTGTTGCTTAGTCTTTAGTTTTCTATGTTATGTCATCTGTACTATTATTTGTCTGTTTGTCTTTTTATTTTTGGCCATGGCGTTGTCAGTTTATTTCGATCTATGAGTTTGACTGTCCCTCTGGTATCTTTCGTCCCTCTTTTACACCGTCGCCATCCTTGGCAGCAAATTTGTACACTAATGTAACACTGTAAAGAAAATACTTTGGTAACTGGCAAATCATGAATTATTATGAATCTACAGATGCCACACATTTTCATTCAACTCATTATAAATGACTGTTAACTTTAGTATCTTCTGTATAATTGTGTCTGTTGTAGCTTATATTGTTTTTAATTGATAGCATATATCACTATGTATTGACTTTTATTTTATTTTCTAAAGCGAATGCAAATGGAAGAAATGAAAGCAAATACAGTAGAACTGTGTCAAATTCACCCTGGAAATACAAGTGAATCAATTGAAATGATGTGTGTAGAAGTATTTAAAAAAATATGTAAGTTAACATTTTAGCTTAATTTTCATTTCTACAATTATGATTGTCTTGTTAATACTAGTAGCTGACCGGTTTGAAAATATATAATTTGATGAAGATTGAAAGGTCATACAGGTCTAGTCAACGAACTAAACCCAATACCCGGAATTTTCGTTAATTTTAATAGCAAAGTGACACTTTAAGCTCTCCGTACTTACCGATGATGAAAAATGTACGGGCAATCCCTTTGATATAATCTGAATAGATACCTGGCATGTGTATAAGCAAAATGTTATATCAAAAGACCACTTTCGAGTTATATTCCTGAGCCGGGAAAGTCCGTCAATTATGCGTGCCTTTATGACCATTTACCAGATAGATGGGACCGCCTGTATCCCTGCACTATTAAAGTTCATCAAGCGTCTTCGTGATCGTCATTATGCAGAATAAACTAGAAATAATGTTTGTTCCGTACTTAATCACAATTCCCTAATAACAGCAGTGCTGATTATCAATTATAAGAATTTAATTTGCCGAATGATTCGTGCAATAAAGCATCATATTTTTTCAATCGCTCGCTCAACATGGAAAGGAAGTAACGATGCCCCTTAACGCACGAATGATGTTCACCAAAACCAAAGTTTTTTGACGGAAATGCAACGAACTCGAAAGTGGTCTATTGAATGATCAGGAAGTTTCGCCATCATTCAAGCGGTCGCCGGTATTCTTTAGAAATATATTATGACAATCAAGCAGGCACTTTGAGCCCTTAATACACATCGAAGGTAAAAAGTGTCCATCCATAGTTTTTAGGAATATGAAATGTAGGGTTGTGGGCACAAAATATACCATCAGATACGAATATCAGTTCATATGTTCTTTATTCTTGTTAATTCACATTAAAGGATTAAGTGTAATACAAAAATAAACAAAAAATCAACACTTTACAATAACATAATACACACATTGACAACACAAACATATGAACATAAATGATCTCGAATCGTACTTTTAATAATACTTTCTTATAGTTCCTATGTGATTATTGATCAATTATTTAATGCAGACAACAAAATATTTGTCTTATACCAGGTCTATAAACTGTATGTATCCATATTAAACATTTCTATGTTTTCTCTTTTCACAATTTACGGTATCTCAAATGTCATAAATAAATGGTCAAAATACTCTTATTAAGTTTACTAAGAAACTTCTATTAAATACACATATTCTTTGACTCATTCATAACAAACATGCCGTATTGGTTGACCAGGGTATTCTAATACAGCTTCAAAAATGTATGACTTCAAAATCAGTTTCAACTACATTCGATAACAACAAAAATAAGGGCTGTTTCAACAAATGGAAGTTTTTAACGACCTTGACTGGCTATACAGCCCTTGCACGGTCGGCTAAAGGCTGTTTTCTACTGGGGACAATAATATATAAAAAATGCTTACATACATGAAAGTGTTGATTTCTAATAAGATAAGATAACCATCTTTGGTCGCAATATACCGGGTCCTTAATTGTGGTCATGTAAGAACACAATTATTTTATAAACTAACCACTGTAGACCTAAGTGGTTTCAAAAAATGTCAAAATTTTCCAAAAATATTTCAGACATTAGACATACTGTTTGTTAAAGTATATAGTTACTTAAATGTCAAACATATATCTACACAATTTCAAGTCTGTCTTATCAATGGTATGAATAATTATTAATGATTGTCAATATCAGCTTCTAGAATTAAACACAGTTTTGCAATTGATCTGTTCAATACAGTAAAAGCAGTTTTCACCTTCGCTATTCGTACTGTTCCAAATTTGTCCGTAATGACTTCCAAAACTCGTCTCATTGTCCATGAATTTTTGGGGTGTTTTCAACAATAAAAACAAGATCATCGACTTTGAGATTTCTTTCCTTCTTGTTCCATTTAGCTCTCTGATGTAATAAAGGTAGGTATTCTTTAGTCCATCGACTCCAGAATAAGTCTGATAAATATTGCACTTGGCACCACCTTCTTAGAACATAATTGTCAGATTTAACGAATGTCCCGGGAGGAGCACATTCGCCTGAACGAAGAAGCAGAAGATCATTTGGCGTTAAAACGTTCAAGTCATTCACACTATTGGATATTTCTGTGATATGACGACCATTTAATATATCTTCAACTTCACAAAAATATGTTTGCAAGTTTCGTCATCCAAACGCAACTTTTTTTCTTGCAAAGTGGAATACAAAACCTTTCTCATAGACCGAATGAGTCTCTCCCATTCTACACCAAAATTAGATGCAGCTAGAGGATTAAATTTTATGATTTTATGATCAAGTGCTTTTGTCTAAGTTCAGTCAAAATAGCATTTTTTCCTAAATGTCCGATAGATTTATGAATTCCTTGTATAATAAGATACGATATTCGGGATTGTTTTGGCTGTACTAATGGATGTTTCATCGTGTCAGTTAGATTTGATCTCGCTAATCTCCCACCAACTCATAGGATCCCTTCTTCATCAATAAATGGACCAAGCTTGAACAATGTTGACGTTTGCTTAACATCCAACTTATCTTTTAATCTCTGTACTTCATCATCGAAATGTTGGTTTTTAAAAAAACGAATGATAGTCTTTTCTTCGTCGTGTATATCCTGTACTTTTACAATACAAAGTTTTAACTAAGTGCTTCGATTCATTTAGTCGCTTACGTCGTGCTTGTGAAGGTAACTTATTCAAATTGTCCTTCGAAGAAATGACATCTACTTCATTCTCACTGACTAAGTCGTTATTTCTTCGGATTATTTGCTTAAAATTGCTTACGGCCTTCAACAACCAAGCTACGATTCTTTTCAGCTTGTCAAAGTCACAACAATCAGAAATCAAGGTTTCAAAACTGTAATATGTATTGTCTGCAATTGATACATTAACCACTCGTTTGACTTCCGAGTCATTATCTGGAATTTTCAAGTCCATAGATACTTGAGGCCATTCATCCTCTGGCAACCACAAATAATCTGGGCCCCTGATCCATTGATGATTTTGTTGGAATTTCGAAATTGTCATTTCACGATAAGCAAAGTTGGCTGGGTTTTGCTTCGTATTCACATAATTCCACTGTACATTATCGGTAGCCTCATGTATTAAAGCATGACGATTTGCAACAAACGTATGATAGCGCGATATTGTTATGCTATCGGTCCTAAAGAATACTTTATCGATTCTGTAATTTAATTCTCGCAAAATAACTTTGCTCAATCGCACTGCTCTTGCCGCAGCAGTTAATTCCATTCTAGGCACTTTGATTGTCTTCAGAGGTGCAACTCGTGATTTTCCGAGTACAAATGAGCAATGTATTCTCGCTGTATCATCAATTAAACGAAGATAGAAAACCATGCCGTAACCGATGTCACTGGCACCTGAGAAACAATGAATCTGTGATGATATTACTTTTTCGAAATTTGGCGACTTATAGCACCTGTCAATCTCACATTGTCTAACTCGTTCAGCTGATTTAACCAATTGTTTCAATTTGTTCTCATCATTCTCGTTAATTTCATCGTCCCAATCTACTTGTTGTTTGCATAAGTTTTGCAGTTTTGACCTTTCTATAAGTACAAAAAGGTGATGCGATTCCTAGCGGATCATACACAAAACTAACGACTGATAATATTCCTCGCTTAGTATGAGGATGATCGTTGGTATTTATTTGAAATCCTAATAGTCTCTTTCGATGTACCAAGATACTCCTAGCGCTCGTTCAACAGATGATTCGTTCTCAAAAATAAGCTAATTTTTGTCTTTTGCACGATTTTGATCTGGTATTGATTCTTTTACAGTTGAACGTTTGCTTACCCACTTTGTCAAATTAAAACCACCTTTGTTACAAAGCGATCTAACACCATCGACTAACGATATTGTTTTGTCGTCTGATTCAGTTGATACTAAACAATCGTCTACATAAATATAGTTCAATATCGTTTCTGCAGCTTGTGGATCGAATTGGTTTCCATATTCCTGTGCAGTTTGTCTCAACGCAAAATTACAAACACTTGGAGAAGATGTAGCTCCAAAAATATGAACTGTCATCCTGACTTCTGGCTCACTGTTAATGTTTGCGTTTGGCCTCCACAAAAATCGCAACAAGTTTCTATCTTGCAGTAGAACATTCACTTGGTAGAACATACTTTCTATAACACCTTGTAAAGCAACATTTTCAGAACAACGGAATCGTAAAAGTTATTAGCTAGGTCTGGTCCTTGCAATCATCTCGGTTTAACTCAGTTACTGGAACCTTTTCAGCATAACCTTTCGAATAAAGATTGTTCATGAAGGACACGTAGTCGTCCTTGAACTTCTGGTTCTTTATAATCTTGATTCTAAGTCCTTTAAGATGATTAAATCCCTGAGACACATTGTTCGGAAATTTAACCTCTTTGTTTCGAAATTGTAAAGCAAAAATAGTGTCCATCCTCGAATATAATAGACTAATTTACTTTTTTCAAAAAGTAGTTGTCTTCAATGGAGTTCTCTTTTTTGTCGTCAATAAGTAGTTCCGGAAATCCAAATTATTTTATAGATTTTCTCACAAGATAGTCAAGGTTATTATGACCCTGTACTTCGTAGATTGCTGTAAGCTGTGCACGATTCACCACATCATTCGTTTTTGTATTTGTTTCAATTCTAATTAAGTTCCATATTATCCAACCTAATCTACTCCTTGTTGCATGAGGAGAACCTGCTGGTCCAGTAGCAATGTCATATGGCGTGTATGTATCATGTACATTATTACAAATCATCAAGCCGATAGTACCACTAATATCAGGGAGTGCTATGTTGTTCAGGTGAGGCCACTTTACAAGTTCTGCATTTGTAGGAATATGCGTTTTGGAAACTGGCATTTTATCCTTAGTATACACATTAGGTAAGTTTATAACAGAGTTCAATTCGAGGCCTTTTATAGCTGACTATGCGGTATGGGGTTTGCTCATTGTTGAAGGCCGTACGATGACCTATAGTTGTTTACT